GATAGGCACGCCACTCGTTCAGGAGCTGTCCAAGCCAGGAGAAGGCCAGGACATGTTTTGCAACCAGACATTGATCAGCTGAGTCCAGCAGATCAGGCTACACAAAAAGGAGTTCTTTGAGAAAGCAAAGGCTGTTGGTGAGCAGTTGGCATACGGTCTGCCACCAGACCAATATCCACAGGCTCCAGGCAGGAGATGAGCCTCTGCAGTTCCCGGACCAAAGACGCCGAGCCAGAGGAGAGAAGGAAGATTCCAAGATTGCGTATCCCGTCGCAAATGAGAGGTGAACTCGCGCGTCATTTCATTCAAGAAGAATGAGAAGACAGCCCAAAGAAGCCAAGAGTAGGAGAAGGTACAGACGAGCGACGTGAGATCAGGAAGATGACGAGAGATTGAGGATGGGCCCAAAGAAGAAGTGAGAAGCACACAAGAGGAGCTTCCAGGGGGAGATGATACACAAGGAGATACTACAATCAGCTCTCAATGATGTCAGCGAAGATAAAGGTACAGACTGGGGAGATCAAAGAAAGACCGCCTGAAGTCATTGACAAGGAACTACAGAAGCTGGGCGCAGAAGCGTGCAGGTATGAGGAGGAATGCCTTGAGAAGATGGGCGTTGCGCAAGAAGATGAAAGAAGGAGAGCAAGATGAAGAAAGCTCCTACGTCCTGACAAGATGGTGGCGATGTGGAAGTTTAGAAATGAACTAGGAAGTTGCAGGAGGGCGTGCCTTGTGGGGAGACAGTTCAAATGGTCAGCGCTCACTGAAGACTCATTTGCACCCACGTCTGCGTGAATCGCGGTGAGGACGCTGTTGCATTTGCAGATGAGGGCTGCCTTGGCTCTCTACAGGCTTGACGTCAAAGATGCTTTCCTTTGATCATCACCGAGAACGGAAAGTGTAGACTGAAGCGCATTCTCCCAGGACAACGGAATGCAGCTGAGCAACGGTTCAAGGGCTTCTGCGCAGTTGCAGAGGAATTTGGTTTGGAACAAGATGTGATGCAGCCCACTATGTTGAAGAAAGCAGAGAAGAAAGAAGGCTGCAGATTTTTCCTCGTGATCCATGCCGACGACATCCTAGAATGAGAAGACCCTTGAGACACAGAGCCTCAAGGAGGATGTAGCCAGAGCAAGGCGTGCTGATGAATTGCGCCAAGAGACCAGGGGGCATGTGAGCCGGGCATGTCTCACACTCGAACGCACACCTTGGTTGATAACATCCAATGGCGAATTCACAGCCAAATGATCGGACGGCAAGGCCATGTACATACAGCTGCCATAACTGGGTGAGAGAGCTTCGTAAGAATTCAACGCATACATGACCACAGATGGCAGTTGGGAAGCATGTACACTAACACGTATGCACATACTCGACCGCACGCCCACATTGCGCAAAAGGAGTGCAACCGTTTTCAGTTTCGGTAAGTTTAAACATCACCTGTTTCCCCTCTTCATGTTGCCAACCTGGCCTTGCCCAAACGATCTCAATGACTCAGGCTGTGTTAGCCATGTTAACTTTGCCCAGCTAGCTTGAAGCTTCCCACAGGTTTCAAGTCACCTGACCCCACCAAACCCCTCACACAGTAGAATCTTGTGTTCACCATGGTTCTTCATCTCGGTGAGAATGGCCTAGGAGTTTGGTCCAGTTCTTGTTCTTGGCGCAGCGTCTGGGGCGCAGACCTGTACTTCCAGGCATTGCTGATGGCAACGTGACAGACTCTACGGTCTATCGGTCCTTCAATTCGAGCAACGTCAAGGATCTTGATTATTTCTTAGACTTTTCTAAAGTGAGTGATCCTGATTGGTTGCCGCCCATCGGATTTCGCGAGCACCTAGTTGAAACTGGCCCAATATTGGACGCAGTGCTCATTTTTGTGCTGAATCCTATTAAAAGACCCAAGTTCCTCAAGATAATAGAAGAGTCAATTGTGATGAATTGCTCTTGGATTTGGAACATGTGCCAACGAAAGCCGACAGAATGCGGTGGTGAGTTTATGTGGCATATAGATTTGCGTGGGATTGGCACATGGCAACTTGCTGAAAACGCCCCTGTGCTTTGTGTTCACCACAATTTTTCCTACTGGAACTACTCCCTGAGCGACTGGTTGCAGACCAGCAACGTAACGTCATTTCGCAACATCGCTGTGTTGAACTGGCTCGGGGTCACTTCATGGCCATGCGCGAAGATCCTTCGTATATGCTCGTCGGTCTTGGACACTCGCGGAGAGGAGGGAGAGAGACCAGAGGAACAGGTTTTGAATCTGACTCGCTTTTTGAATCGCCTGCGGCTGGCCAGCGAGATGGAAAGGATGGCAGACCATTTTTTGATTTCGCATCCTGCGTTGCAGAACTACAGTTACAGTGCTGTGCAGATGCGTTCCGAAAGGATACTCTATGAAGGACTTCTGAGCGCAAAATGCAACGACAGCGGCGTGTTTCAATGGTTTTCCGAACTGAGCAACACGACAAGTTCATGGTCTAGTGCCTGGTTTCGCGCTCGAGATATGAAGCTGGGTGGTTCGACGACCTTGCGCCGAGAAGTTGCACTTCAGCTTTATGACAATCAAAGCGTCGAGACTTTGCAGAAATTGGAACGGGCGGTTTGGCAGAAATCTCCGGCACAGTTCTTGGACCACGACTGCGAGAGATCCGGACCCGTGACGTGTTTCCTGGTGGATGTGGCACTTCTGTCGCACGCGGATCGGCTCTTTCTCTGGGGCAACTCCGTGGGAGTTCCGATGTTCTGTCGCATCCAACGGAAGCACTTAGGCAAATCAGAAGACAGCATGGTCCAGAGCCGGGTGATGCCCAGAGGATGCTAAAGCAAAAAGTGACCAAGTGGTTTGTTTGCGATTGGAGTTCTACAAGCGTCAAGCGCAAGGCAAAATTAGGTCTGTCGAATTGGTGTAGCGGCTCACGAGGTCCACTGCAAAGCGAAAAGATGGAACGAAACGAGTTTCGAACCGCGGGGGTGGCGAATGAACGCCAGCACGTAGCTCCTTTTCTGAGCTCTTGAGCCCTCTGCGGACGGTCGAAAACTAAGCTCCAAGCAAAGTGAAAACGTGCGACATGTCATGTCGACTTGATGCTCAGCGAGCATCTTCACACAGGGGGCATTCTTAGCCCCAAGAAACTTTAAGTCGGCCGCCATGGGTCAGCATCAGCTAACCATGCATCGACTTCCCTGCGCAGCGAAGTTCCGCTGCTGTTCTCGATTCTGTCAGGCGGAGGCCTCAGGGATGCACAGTAGGCGCAAGCTCGCCTTGTCATCAGGTTTGAGGTGGTCTGGCGAACGATGTGGCAGCTCTCATGATGCCAGCATTCGCCGGTGGAAGCGGTCACGACAGGCCTCGTGAACGGGCACAGGGATGAGTGCACAGCTCCATCTCCATGATGGCGTCTCGAAAGAGACGGTGAGCGTCTGTGGTCAGCGCTCTCAAGTTCTGCACCTCGTCGATCTGGAGGTTCAAAGCGGCTCGGGATTCTTGGGCAGACTTTTGGGCTTCATTGGCCCGGTTCTTCTCTTGGCTCAGCAGCTCTCGTAGTCGGGCATGGACTATGGGCTCATCCTTTTGGATCTCAGCCTCCTTTGTCATGGGCTTCGATGCAAGCTTGTGGTGGCAGCTCCAGCGGCCGGCCATGAAGATGCCGGTCATGAGGGTGATGTGGATCAGGGCCAAAATGGCAAGCCACAGCCAGAGTTGCTCATAGTTTTCTCCCTTTTCTTCTCCCTTCTCACATTGTTGGCCTCGTGCCATGGCCAACAAAGAAAACATCAGCACTGCCAGGAGGACATTCGGCATGCGACCTGCCAGGTTATTCTTGGAACAGCTGCCGCCATGGCTCATGGCGAAGACATACGTGAGGGCCTTCGCATTCTGTGCAAGGTAGGCGGTGGCAGGGGTTTCTTCAAACTTTTGCTGTTCCTCATACTCAAAAATCTCCGGGTAGTCAGCCAGGTTGACATTCGCAGGAATGGGCTCTTCTGCAGGGACAAAATGCTCTGCAGCAACATCGTTGGGCGTTGTCTCAGGCTGGGTCGTTTCAGCTATGGCCTTTTCTTTCTCTTTCTTGGTCTTCTTCTTGGAGGCCACATAGTTTGGATCCCAGGTGAGCTTCAAGCGACGATGCCGGAGGCGAGCAGCCAGAAGTGTCCTCGCGGACTCTTTGGTGAGTCCATCGGCAATTTGCCGTTCTGAACTCATCCATCG